AGTTTAAAAAAATCGTCACTGAAAAAGTCACTAATTATAAGTTTTAGTAACAATTTATAAAAAACGTGATAAAAAAGTGATTAATTATCAACTTTTAACGATGTATGCAAAAAATTAATAAAAAAATATATTTTTGATGACAATTTTATTATAACATACTTTTAATACAACTTGATGAATATTAAGGGGTGGTTTGGTTTTTATGTTGGGCTAAAAAATCACCAAATGACAAAAAAAATGTCAAAAAATCACAAAATGACAAAAATCATAAAAAGACAAAAAAATATACAATTCCAAAGCTAAAAAATCAAAAAATCCAAACAAGAATACCAAACCACTAAAAAAATTTCAAACTAAAAAAGTCAAAAAAATTAACTAAAAAAATTATTGCCAAATGACCACTAAATCTAACTCTTAAAACGATCTATAATTTACCGGTTACACCAGTCCTTCTGAAAGCTGGTTGAACCTCCCACCATTTGGGAATTCTCGTTCTCCAAGGCCGAATAAAGCTTACTTAGGCCCCGTTTGTATTCAGAGGTAAAATGAAGAGAATTTATAGTGAGAGGATTGATAGTGAGGGGATTAAATAAAATTATGTTTGGTTTGATGATAGTTGTTAGCGTATGAATTGTTAAATTATTTTTATATAAAATAATAAAATAAATAAAAAAATATAAAAAATTAAACATTAATATTTTAAAAAAAATCCCAATATATAAAAAATAAGGGCAAATTACATATACCTCCCTCGAGGTTTAGCTAAATTACAGATATCCCCCTAAGGTTTCGGAAATTACAGATACCCTCCTGAGGTTTATATTTTCATAACAATTTGCCTCCTAATTTTATTTTTATATAAAATAATAAAATAAATAAAAAAATATAAAAAATTAAACATTAATATTTTAAAAAAATTCCCAATATATAAAAAATAAGGGCAAATTACATATACCTCCCTCGAGATTTAGCTAAATTACAGATATCCCCCTAAGGTTTCGGAAATTACAGATACCCTCCTGAGGTTTATATTTTCATAACAATTTGCCTCCTAATTTGTTATGCAAATATAACCTTCAGGGGATATCTGTAATTTCTGAAACTTCAGGAGGATATCTATAATTTTGCTAAACCTCGAGGGGTATATATAATTTGCCCAAAAAATAAAAAAAATAAAAAAAATTCTAATCCCTTCACTATTTTTCTAATACCATCTCCACCTCCTCCATCTCAATCCTCCTTCCAACCTCAATCTATATCACCTCCTCCATTCTAATCCTCTCCCCAACTCTACAAACAAACACAACACTAAATAATCCCACCTCCATCCTAATCTCCTCCCATCTATTTAGCCCCAAAACAAACGGGGCTACGGAACATGTCTTTTCCTATGGAATCAATAATTTTTTACTACAAAATGAGGAATCTCTTACTTTGGAGACAAAATTTTAATGATTTAAACTGTTTACATTTTAAGATTTGTTGAGTATATCATATTTATAAAAAATTAAGTTGATCAGAAATCAGAAAGTACGTATTCGAAAAACTGTTTATTAAATTTTTTAAAAAATGGTTTGTAATTCGATGATCCGAACACTAGTTTTTGATATCCGATCAACTTGAATTTTTACAGGTATGATATATTCAATAAATCTTAAAATATGAAGGGCTTGCTTGGTTTGTTTTTCAAAAAAATTTTTGGTAAAAATTCTCTACAAACAAATTTTCAAGAGTAATCAAACCAAACAAATTTTTTCAAAAAAAATCTCAAAATTTTGTTTGGTTACCTACTTTTCAAAATCACTCTCTCTCTTTTTCTCTCATACACATCAAATCAATCACTTTTTTTAAAACTCTCTCCCCAAAATAATTTTTCAAAATTATTTCTAAAAAAAGACAAACCAAAAGACCTAATTATAATTTCATTATTTATGATAAGCTAATATAAAATTGGGGCCTTATAAATATATGGTTAAGGTTATCATTCTAACCCTAGCCTCCATGCTAATATGAAATTGGAGCATTATAAATATATGGTTAAGATCATCATTTTAACCCTAACTTCCATCTCATATTTTCTCATCGGTATGTGAAAGAAAATAATATCATGATTATGGAGCGAAAAACAATAACCACCAAAAAAATCTTCCGCTTAAATTACTTCAATTAATGACGTGAGGTACACAATTATTATTACAGCAGTGCTGCATACCCCCAGTGGGGGTCGCACCCCCAATGAGGTGTCGCTCCCCCACTGGTTGAAACTTAAAAAAAGAAGAAAAAAAAAAATAGATTTTTTTTTGGCCAATAATGGAGTGCCACCTCACTGGAGGTCGACCCCCAGTGAGTGTATGAGGCATTTTTCTTATTATTATTTCCTTTTATTGATTTGACTTGAATCTTAAGATTTAAATTGCTATTGAAATTCCACATGAATTCCCACCTATGATACAAGTCCACGATAAAAGCATATAGCACGATCTAAGGGTAACTTTAGGACTTAGGTCAAGTTTGAGAGCTTGTAAAAAAATTAAAAAGTCAAAAAGTTATTTTAAAAAGTTAAAATGTTAATATTATTCACTAAAAGTCAATAATTACGACTGCATAACTCTCAATTTGAATTTTTTCTTACAAATCAATGTTTACAATTTTTTATTACTCATTTTTCTATAAAAAGTCAAAAAGTTAACCCAAACATCCATATTTTTAACCTCAATTTTTTAGTCCAAAAAGACAAAAAGTGCACTTTTTTAGTCTTCCCAAACTTGGCCTTAATACCCCCTTACCACAACCTCTATTGTTTGTGAGATATTCTATGATATACACCTTTTTTTAAAAATCTATGTCATATGTTTTAATTACAATTTTTTAGACTTTTAGTCATCACCTATTATAATATTAATTATAACTCTTTTTTTTTAAATTATGATTAAAAATGATTTAATTATAACATTTATGATAATTAATATTACAAATATCATAATTTACATATGATACACAGTATCACCCATTTTTTATTTATTTATTTTCCTCTCTTTCTTCATCAGACCTTTCTAATTCTCTCTCTACTCTCATTTGACTTTTTTTTACGGGAATAATATAGCAGTGTTTTGAAAATAAATTTCAAATTAATGATAAACTTTATCAATTTTAATTATTAAGCACATAAAATTTTTCATGTGTTAGTAATTTTTTAAAAGTACACCGATTTAGAATTTTTCTTTATTTTACGCTCTCTCTTAACGCTCTTTATCTTATTATTTATTTTTCCTATTTTCACCATATTTTGTAAAAAATAATTTTAGAGATAATATTCAAGATGCAAATAAAAATTGTGTTTAGTGTAAGTGAATCCTATGTTAACCTCATATAAATATGGAGAAATTACTACTCACGGTGATTTTTAAAAATTAGTATATATTAGTGTAAAAGTTTATGATATTAGTTATTAATATTTATAATTTTTTTTACTAATATTACATTTGTGTAACTCCCCTTATAAATATTACTTGCACCAAACATAAATTTTACTTACACTAGGTGCAACACTCACACCTTTCAAATTAAAATTATAGGGACTAAAGCAAAATTTAGACTAAATTACAGGAGTGAAAACTATAATTAACCCAAAAAATTAGAAGTCGAAAACATTTTCCCCCAACTTTCAAATAATATTTTTTAAACTTATTTAAGTTATTTTTACCTAACAATAAGTAAAAATTAAGCTAAATAATTTAACATAAACTATTAAAATGAAAAAAAAGATAAATTACAAATACACCCCCTGACGTTATACAAATTATTCTTTGTAATTATGAAAATTACATTCAACCGTTTCAAGTTTCTAATTGTATAACAAATGACTCGTTTTATTAATAAATCATAAATTCAATTAATAATTTTTAATGATGTCAAGTTTCTAATTGTATAACAAATGAAGCATAGTTATAAATTTTATTTTTATGTTAGTTTTGTTAAATAAAAAATTCTCCAATGGAGTACTAATCCAATTGGATTTGGCTTCTCTCAAGTTACAACTTGAGAAACATTTGAGCTTTGTAGGCTTATTTTAAAACCAATTTTGGTGATTTGAACTGTTCACTTATTTCGTACTCATTGAGTAAAAATATTAATGCAAAAAATTTAGATAATTGAATATCGGTACCTATATATTTGAATCATATTAATTTTTAAAAAATAGATGACAAATATAATTTAGAGAACAACCATTCATTTTTTGCAATATAAATTTGATTAAACATATACTTACCAATATTCAATTATCTTAATTTTTTGTATTAATATTTTATTCAACGAGTCTTAAAAGGAGAAAGATTCAGATTATCAAAATGAGACCGGTAATAAGTTTCATAGGGCCCTCAAGTTTTCTCATATTGATATATGAATATAAGAGAAATCTAATTCTTTATAATTTTACCACAAAAGACTATTTATATTTAAAAAAAAAATCTTAACGAATGTATTTATAATATTACTCAAAATTTATAATTGACTAAAATAAGATTTCGCTTATCAAAAGACTATTTTAATAAAAAAGAAAATTCATTATACGCTCTCTGTATTTTCAAAACATTTTTTTTAATCAAAAATAAAAAATTATTAAAATAATTATTTCTCAAACCAAAATAAAAAATTATTAAAATAACCATTTCTCAAACCACAGCGAAAAGAATCCATTATTTTCCACGTGGGAGGGGTTGGTGAGATTTATTTTAATTTTGACTCTTTAATTTTTTTTTTAATTTTTGAGTAAGGGTTGAATGGTTGGTGTGATTGGTGCACACCAAGAAACACCACAACGCTACGACCCCACAAAACACAAAAAAGGCGCCATCGAGTAATGTTAGAGACTCTAAATATTTTATTAAAAATTTTATCAAATATTTCATATATCCCACATTTAATAAAATTTTGATAAAATTTTTGGAACGTCTCCCATTTTTGCTCCGAGATCTGAATCTAGTTAACCATTCTCTTTTCTCTCACCCACCCTGCGTCTCTGCACAATTATATATATCTCTACATTCTATACATCTACATACTCATCACTCGCTCTCTCCTCTCCTCTCTCTCTCTCTCTATCTCTCTCTCTCTCATTTCATCACTTGCAAGCAGCGATGGAGGGAATTCTTTTGGGTATGGGAAACCCACTATTGGACATCTCTTCTGTCGTCGACCAAGAATTCTTGGACAAGTACTCTCTCTCTCTCTCTCTCTCTCATTTGATCATTTTCGTGTTTTCAAGCTCAGATCTTGATTCCTCATCTCTGTTTCATTAGATCTGATGTATTTACTCGATATGTAGACAACGTGTTTGTTAAATTGTTGCCGTGAAATTATTAGATTTGAAGTTGTCCCTTTTGTGATTTGAGCTGTGTCTTCAGATCTTAGATTATCTATGCCAATTGGGTTTTCTTGTAAGATTGTGCATCTTGCTGAAACCATGATCTTTGCTCCCACATGGATCTGAATCTCATTATTAAAAATTCAATCTTGATCATTGTTAATTCAATGCGAGTATAATTGTTCACCTGGGTTCTATTTGGATCTGTATGTTTGATTCTATAGCTAAAAACCCATTTCAGAGACGTAGATATATTTGCTCCTGATTTATTCATTTATCAATTTTGCACTTGCTAGAAAAGACTCAAAATTTATTTTATAGTATAATAGCTTACGGGATTCACTATATAAACACCATTGAAATTCATATTCTTTGCGCAAAATTCTAGGTAGCTTTTGATTTGATGGGTTAGTTTTTTTTTTTTTTTTTTGGCCTGATTATATGTACTTAAGAAGATGTGGGTGAAGAGTTGCTTATTACTATGGTCTAATTCTTGATTTTTTTTCCCCCACTGTTGATAGTTGTAGTAAGTGGTAACTCTCTATGTGTCTGTCTTTTCTGAGCCTTTGCATTTCCTTCATCGTTGTTCTTGCATGTGATATACAGTTATTTCAACAAGTGTTGCCTGTTAACTACTTCATCACAGCCTCCCACCTCCGCTGGGCTCTGAATCCCTAAATATTTGAAAGAAGTGTATAATATAGGCAAATAATATAGGTTAATGTTTGTTTCTGTTGGAAGTCAGCATGTTTATCTGTGGGCTTAACTAATTGAGGTCGTCTCATAATTTATTAAAATTGATTTTTGTGATGTCTAACATGAACTGTGATGTTCTGTCAACAGATATGACATCACGTTGAATAATGCAATTCTTGCAGAGGAAAAGCACATGCCTATGTAAGTAATTTATATATATATATATGTATTTTTTTTTCTTTCAGAATTTTTAATGAATGATGATTACATTCAGTATCAATGATTTCTGTGATTCATTCTTATAAAAAATATTGGTGACATTGCTTGACATATCAGAATATTTGTTAACAATTTACCAAATAGCTGCTGATTTTAATTTGTAAGGACTAAAATTGATAAATCACAATTAGTCAATCATAATGCATGACTTGAGTGGTGAAGAAGAGAAGATTTCTTCAGTTTATTATGCACTCTTATTGCAATATATGTAAAACTTCATTCCTTGCCCTGGTGGTGAACTTTACCAGCATAAATGGTAATGATTTAACTGAATTGATACCTAAGTTATCAAATGGAGCAAATACAAAATGAAAAATAAAAACCTCAGGATCACAAATTTGAATTTATTTACCTATGTTGTACTGCTTTAGAAATTTTAGTTTGCTTGGATGTAGAAAATTATTGTTATTATTTTTAAAAACGCACAGCCTTGCGATAATACATCGGCAAATAAAGTGCATAGCACAGTGCATTTGTCCTTAAAAATGCTTACCACGTTTAGTAATTGTATGTTGATGCATTTTTCAGGTATGATGAAATGTCATCCAAATACAATGCGGAGTACATTGCTGGAGGTAAGGTGGCCATTGTGTGTATGTTGGGTTCTTGAAAAATAGTTCCCATGATATCTTTAATGAATATAGTTATCAATTAGTGACAAGTTTTATGCAATCTTATCGTGTGCAGGTGCTACTCAAAATTCAATCAGAGTGGCTCAGGTATGTTTTAAATTTATTATGACGGCCTTAATGATATTATCTCAATTTGATATTATCTCAATTTGCAGCACAATGACCTTTTTTTCAATTTTATTTTTTCTTTTGCCATTAATAGTGGATGCTTCAAACTCCTAGTGCAACCAGTTACATGGGTTGCATTGGAAAGGACAAGTTTGGTGAGGAGATGAAGAAAAATATAAAACTTGCCGGTGTTAATGTATGTTACATGTTATTCTCCTCCTTCATTGTTGTAATTGTCATCATCAATTTTCATCTTCATCCCCTTTCTTTCAGTTTTTGGCTTTCAAACTCATGAATCTGCATTTTTGAAGCAATACGTGAGAGGGGTAACTTATCAATCTTATCTGTCATGTGCTGACACCCAGGTTCACTATTGTGAGGATGAGTCTGCACCAACTGGTACCTGTGCTGTTTGTGTGGCGGGAGGCGAAAGGTCAGTTTTACACACGCTTGCTCTGAAACTCTTTTTACTGACTTCCATATTACTAGTGTGAATCTTCTTCTACTTTTTATAACTGTAAACAGAGTGAATCTCTCACCCTGTTTTAGTATGCATTGTTATGGAGCCTATCCTATAATGTGTGCTGATAGTTAGTATTTGAAATGTGCATTGTATTGTATTTTGTGGTTTGCACTTAAAATATGAACTATTTATTTGCCATTCCTCTTTATTTATCCAAAAAAAAGAACAGAGAAGTGAATAAGTTCTTATTTAGTGCAGAAAACTACGACTTTCCTTGACTGATATGTAATGGCTTCAAATTTTGGTTGTATGAACTGTTAGCGGAATAAATTTTAGTTAATTTGTTACTCATAAAAGATAAATGTGTCTGAAACTCAATAATGTAGATAGTTGTGCTCTGGAAATGGGGCATCCCTAGTTCAGAGTTTTGAGTTGCCATTATGAATTTGATTGAGCAGGGCACATCCCATTTCTAAATGCGTGAATTTCTTTATTAGTAATTCTGTTATGGAACTTAGCAAACTAGCATTCAAAACTGAACTTCACGATAAATATCATGTTTGATATAATTTATCCAAGAAAAAAATATATATATATATATATATATCATGTTTGTTATATTATTGTGAATTTTACAAAATAAAAAGGTACATTATTTGAAATCATGGTTTCTTTATGATAATTTTAGTATCTTTTCATGTAATGGAAACAGAGCAAACTGATTATGAAGCCAATTTAACTACAGTATAACATGGACATAAAATGAAAGAGAATAAATTGTGTGCCACACTTGAGCTATGGTTTGTTATTTAGTTGATTTTATGGATGCATTTTGAGCTGGAAATGAAATTCCATTGTTTTGGTCTCTTCAGGCAGGTTATCTGGTCTGTGTGTAGGCTGTCATGGAACCTTTTATAAGATTCAGAAACTGGCTTTTTTTATTCTTCATGTACCTTGACTGACAACATTTCTGTGTTAAATATATATGCAGATCACTTGTTGCCAACTTATCTGCTGCAAATTGCTACAAAACTGAACATTTGAAGAGACCAGAAAATTGGGCATTGGGTATTTTGTCTGCCCTGTGTCATTTGTAGGTCAGGTCTTCTTGTCTTCCTTATTCTTTTGTGCTAACTTCTTGATATTTGGACAGTTGAGAAGGCCAAGTACTACTATATAGCAGGCTTTTTTCTCACAGTTTCCACAGAGTCCATTCAACTTGTTGCTGAACATGCAGCTGCAAACAACAAGGTATAACATGACATATAATTGAAAAATCGTACTTGCTCGGGTTGGCTTTGGCTAAATAAGCCCAAAAGCAAAAGCCTGTTTGTTTTGGCTAAAAAAGCCAATTTTCCCACTAACAAAAATGCAAAATTTTTAACATTACCAATCGCATCAACTTTTTTGGATTTAAAAAAAAAAAAAAAATCTAAAAAAACATTTGCCAATTCCCTTGTATGTTGGCTTGCAATAGCTACTGCATGAAACATTGTTGAGATTTTCTTCCATGTGCAGGTCTTCATGATGAATCTTTCTGCTCCCTTTATCTGTGAGTTCTTCAAGGATGCACAAGTTAAGGCTTTGCCGTAAGTTTTATGCACTCTTCTTTTTGTGATCTTTTTTAGTTGGGAAACACAGAAATATTGACATAGGCCATATATTTTCTCTTTCTAGGTATATGGACTTTGTTTTTGGAAATGAGACAGAGGCAAGAACCTTTTCAAAAGTTCATGGCTGGGAGGTAATGTTTGTTTTGGCAACAGATGTCATGGATCACTTTTAAAATATTTGCCTGATTGGATTATTTTATTTTTTCAGACAGAGAATGTCGAGGAGATAGCTTTGAAAATTTCCCAATGGCCAAAGGCATCTGGAACACACAAGAGGATTACTGTGATTACTCAAGGTGCAGATCCAGTCGTTGTTGCTGACGATGGGAAGATCAAACTGTTCCCTGTGATATTGTTACCTAAAGAGAAACTCGTTGATACCAACGGAGCAGGTTTGGCTCTCTAGTTGCTCTTATTGCGTCAACTACTAAAAAATGCAAGCATACCATCCAAATGCATGTCTCTGTCAAAAGTTGCAATTTTTAAAAACGTTTCATAGTAAATTGAAAGCTATGATATCTGCTTTTTTATATCATTGAGGTATTCCCGTGGTTGGGCAAGTGAACACCATGAAAGGCTGATACTTCTGATCCCATTTTTCGTTTCACATTAGTGAAAACTTTATTTACATGAAATAAATGTATTCAATTAGATATATATATATTTTCATTCTTGTAGGTGATGCGTTTGTTGGAGGATTTCTTTCTCAGTTGGTTCAGGAGAAACCCATTGAAGACTGTGTGAGAGCTGGTTGTTATGCAGCCAATGTCATCATTCAAAGGTCTGGCTGCACATACCCAGAGAAGCCCGATTTTCACTGAGCTAGTCTGTCTTCCCATGATTTCAATGCTATGTTGTTTTCCAATTTTGATTATTGAGAAAGCCATTGCTGGTATTTTTATCTTTGTATTTTCGTTGGTTCCTTGCTCAAGTCATTATTGCTACGAAGAAACTCCCCTCAGAACTCAGTTATTTGGCGAGGGAATTTGATTCGTCAGGCGCCTGTTTCTTATATTATGCTGGATTATGTATTTAATAATGTTACTTAAATATTAGTAGTTCCGCTGCCACTTTGGATAAACATGTCATGTTTTAGCTTATAATATATGTGATAAATTACCAAATAAATTACCAAAACTCTCACATGGGTATGGGACCCACACACATGTGATTTGTGTGGGTTCCACACCCATGTGAGAGGTTTGGTAATTTATTTGGTAATTTGTTTGGGATCCCTAGCATAACTCTTTTTTTAATATTTTAGCAGCCCTCGTTCCTTGTGATAATAGTGGTTGAGAACTGAATCGATTATTAAAGCTGAAGTAGTTGGAGAATATTATTGTAACCTCTGAAAATTTTAGGGGCATTTCAAAAAATTGAAATGCATATAGCATAAGAACTACTTTTAAATTTCATGATGCCAAATTTATAATTCATTATGGCATTCATAATTTCATGTTTAAAATTCATAACCCCTGTTACAGTTTATAAGGCCACATTTGGTAGGGGACAAGGGGGAGGGTGTTTTTTTTTTTTTTTGGTTTTGGGATAAAATTATTTTGGGAATTTTTTTTCTTGAGAGCAATTTTATCTGAATCAATAATATTTTATGATTTTTTAATATTATACACATGAGCCTTAAGCTCTATTGCAAGCCACACACATCATATTTGTTTTGTTTCAGTAAGTATGATATTTTTTTTTTATGATTGAATACTAATAACATTTAATTAGTACCCATTTTATTATAATTATATTATATGAGCACTGCTATTTGAAGTGATTTTCACTCTAAAGGGTTGGAGAGAGGGGTAATGAATTGGGTAATGGTGTGGACTCAATTTATCAACCTCCAACAACATTACAACAAAATTGGAGTATTAGTCACTGTCGACTCTAATTTCGGTTTTCGGTGTACCAATATTACTTGGGTGTGTTTGACTGGACGGACTGGATAAGGGGAGATTAGAATCTATCGGACTTGAGTCCTGGGACTGTGAATCTCTCGGACTATTTGGTTGGATTGGATATGTATCCTGTGTTTGTTTTTTTATGGGATTAGATGTCTGGAAGTGACTATTTTTAATGAATTCAACGTTTGGTTGGACGGACTAGATAAGATAAATGAACAAAAGACTATCATTAAAAAAGTAAAAAAAAAAAATACAACTCCAAGATCAAAACATCACATCATTAATGGCGGGACCCACTGCCACCTAATTAGTGGGAGCACTTAGTGCTCCCAAGCATTTTTCATATTACTTGGGTGTGTTTGATTGGATGGACTGGATAAGGGGAGATTAGAATCTATCGGACTTGAGTTCTGGGACTGTGAATCTCCCGGATTATTTGGTTGGATTGGATATGTATCCCATGTTTGTTTTTTATGGGATTACTATTTTTAGTGAATTTAACGTTTGGTTGGACGGACTGGATAAAATAAATGAACAGAAGACTATTTTACCATTTTTCAATTATTTATTAAGTAATAGCAATATTAAACATATCTTTAATATTTTAATTATTTTTAGCTAGATTAAATAAAAATTTATTTTATTTTATTTTTTACACAATTAAATAAATTTATTTTATTAAATTAAATAAATAAAATTTCAATAAAAATATATGTTATTTTTTTAATTAAAATTTTAAATAAATTTGTTTTAAAAAATAATAATAATTAAACAATGAAATTAAATAAAACATACTATTAACATTAAATATTGAAATTAAATAAAATATTAAACAAATTTTAAAATAAAACGTCAATAAAAAATTAATTTAAAAAAATTAAATAAATAAAACATCAATAAAAGTTAAATAAAATTATTTTATTTTTAAATTGAGACATTTAAATTTTATTAAATTTTACTAAACATAATGCATAATTAAATAGTAGGGGGTCCAAATGGTCATTTTATCACCTAATCTCAATAGTAAACAATCCCCCAAAATTGTCCCACACCCCCCCGGGATAATATAATCCCCCATATGGAGGATTAGGAGTCTGGTCAGACTCCATATCCGGCGGACTAAAAAACAAACAAATACATGGACTATTCACTCATTCGGATAAGCAATCCGAATAGTGAATAGTCCCCCCTAGTCCCCCAATCAAACACACCAGGGTGTTTTGATTGGGGGGATAAGGGGGGATTATTTACTGTGCGGATTGTAATCCGCACAGTAAATCCAATCCGATATTTTTTTTTTTTTTAGTCCGCCGGATATGGAGTCCGGCCGGACTCCTTATCCGCCATACGGGGGATTATACTATCCTAGGAGGGTTGTGGACAATTTTGGAGGGATTATTTACTGTTGGGATTAGGTGTGAAATGACCATTTTACGAATCTACTATTTAATTTTGTATTATATTTAGAAAATTCATAAAATTTAAATGTCTCAATTTAAAAAATAAATAATTTTATTTAACTTTTTATTGATGTTTATTTTTTATTTAAAATAATTTTTTATAGATATTTTATTGATGTTTTATTTTAAAATTTTGTTTATGTTTTATTTAATTTCATTATTTAAATGTTAATAGATGTTTTATTTAATTTCATTGTTTAATTATTATTATTTTTAAAAACAAATTTATTTAATATTTTAATTAAAAAATAATATAAATTTTTATTGATATTTTACTTATTTATTTATTTATTTAATTTAAAAAAAATAAATTTATTTAATTGTGTAAAGAAATAAAATAAAATAAATTTTTATTTAATCTAGCTAAAAATAATTAAAATATTAAAGATATGTTTAATATTGTTATTACTTAGTAAACAATTGAAAAATGATAAAATAGTCTTTTGTTCATTTATCCTATCCAGTCCGTCCAACCAAAAGTTGGATTCACTAAAAGTAGTCATTTTCAAACATCTAATCCCATGAAAAAACAAATACAGGATATATATCTACGGCTGTGATTCAAACCCCCAGCTGGGGGCACCTCCAGTGACCCCCAGCGCCACATGGCGCTCTGCCAGTGGCTGAAACCCAAAAAAAAAAAAAAAAAAAAAAAAGACCAATCAGGAGTGACCCCCAGTACCCCCACTGGGGGTCTTAAGCTTTATTCATATATCTAATCCAATCAAATAGTCCGGAAATTTACAATCTTAGGACTTAAGTTCGATAGATTCTAATCTTTCCTTACCCAATCTGTCCAATCAAACACACATTGGCGTGTTATACTTGTAAAAAAAAAAGTGTGCATCGTCGTGTTATACAATAAACAAAATATTTTAAGAAAACATGTTCATTCAAATATTATTTTTGAAATGAGGGATTGAACTGCCATGATTATGCTTTTCTTGTTAAAACAAAGCATATTCGCCTTTGAAACATAATTATTTTAATTGAATTTTTATAAAAAGATATGTATAAAAATTAAGATAGTGATGTGATAATTTGTAATGACTTTTTAACTATTTTAATCTATTGACAAACAAGTTTGAGTTTGTTTAGGTTCAAAAAAGGGAAAAAAAAAATTAGATGTTGTTAATGAGGGCCTTAGCCCTCATTTGGAATAGACTTTTTTAATCTGATTTTTTTTTTTTTTTTGTTATTTTAGCCTAACTAAAAAAGTTGTGTTTGAGATGATTTTAATTTTTTTTATAGTTGATTTGATGATTGTGAGAGAAAAAAAATAGAATGATTATGATTTGAATGTGACATTTTATCTTATTAACTATTTTAGTTTCTTTTTTTTTTTTGGGTTTTTATTAACTATTTTAGCCAAAAAGTTGCATCCCAAACAAGGCCTTGTAAATATTATTTATAAAAGTGTATCATAAAATATACAATCTGAGAGGTGGATTTGAGCTGAACAATTGGGCCGAGCTATGGCAGCGCGGGTATGTTGTTGGCCCTTGCGAGGGCCAAACCCTGCGTCTGACCGAATTGAACCAACGTGACTCCCCGACCCATTACGTTGGGCCAAGCAAATGGTCGACTAGAATGTGGAGACATGCAGGTGCTCAATTGAGCTATGATTCGGCTTGATATTCGGTTAGATTCACAGTGATGCATTGGGCCAAGCCACGGACTTTCCAGATTAAATTTGGGCCGAGATGTTTACAAGGTGGCGGGGTGAGATCGAGATGTCAAACTACCTCACGACCGGTCAGTTCAAATAGACCGATTTATTATAGTTCAGCCGTCCCAGTCATTGTGGTGTTTCTTCCCAAGTGATAAGTCGGTCGTGATAGCCCGGTTGTGTGAGCCACCTGGACTAATGATCTGAAGAAGGGAAAATCCGCTCATGATATGCGTCAATACCGTTTGGTGGTTCAACAAACACTGTTTGGAGATTGGTCTCTACACGTATAAGAAAGGTAGAAGGGAGCACAGCCGCCTGTCCAGGGAAGGACAGCAGAGGTAGTGCGCCCACAATCTCTGAGGCTTCATGGCCAGCCTAGAAAATGAGGAATGGGGGAACGTTGGAGTAAGTAACCTGGAGGAATTCACAACTCTCTCTCTCTCTCTAAAGGGCTCTATTCCCATTCTTCTTCTTCTCCAAGTGTGCTGACTTGATCGTCGGAGGGTTTATCCGGCAGCACACCGCCGGACTGCTCACCATCTTTCTATTTTCAGGTCAAGTGACGTTACGTGAAACTTGGGTTCAAGGAGTACGGAGAACGGAGGATATTTCATCCCGTACACAATCATTTTAAATTTTGTTATCAATAAATGGAGGGACCTAACAAATGAAGTATTGCAAAAGACTGGAATGGAAACGAAACAGAATGTATCAAATTTTTAGCATGTAGGACCAGATTTGGCAAATCAGAAAAGATCAACTACATCGTTCTTAATTAATATCTTTAAAACGTTAGTTAACAAGACATAACAAAAATTTATTGCATTTAAGAAGCATGTTTTCTGTACCAGCAGACAACATTTATAGTAGTAGATTGTAGTTAGCACAATTATAACACAGTAACAAAACAAAAATGGCACTTAAATGCAGTGTCCAAATAGGAGTGTTGCTTTGTGGAGGTTTCTAGGCCTAATGTTTGGGCTCTCATGAGCGAATGTACTTAAAATTTTAAGAGTAATGTTAGAGACTCCAAATA